CAACTATTTAGGCTTCCTTCCAGAATTTCCTACCTAAGTGCCTGTTTTTTGTGCTTCCTTCTATCGACCGTTAATATTACTTTTTCATTGTTATACAACACCTATGTAACAGGTGCCGTGGAAGTTGATAAGATAAGTACGGTTTTGCACAATATATTTTTACTTAATGCAAAAAATGAACATATTGAGAACTACTACTCTCAAGAGACACATCACAGAAGTGTTGGGGATGTTGCCACCTACTTAGTGAACCCTTAAGCGAACTTATAAATAAAAGTTTTTATTTTACGTTTTTATTGCATGATTTCAATTAAAAAGTTTATCGGTGAAAACAACATTATTTCATAAATTATTTATTGGTAATAATGTGTATATTTTTCTATAATTACTCATTTTCTAATTATGCTTATAAACTACAATAAAATGACCTATTTGAATGCTTAATCTTTTGCGTTTCTTCTTCAAAATTTATCTAACAATTTTATTATTATTTATGTGACAAACTTATGAACTAATGAGAAAAAACATTTAACAAGGAATGGCAATAAGACCCAGTGCCTTTCTAACAGCATATCCGCTTGAAAAAATGTCGTGAGGAAATTCCAAACCACTTAAGTTGAGCATATGAACAAAAAAGTTAACGGTGCTTGCGAAAAGCTTAAATGTATTCAAATTGTCGAGGAATTTGGAAGCCGCAAAGCATATTAAATGTATACAGCGTAAACAATTTTTTTCTTTTTTTTATCCATAAGCAACAAAAGTCAGGCTCAGTTTGTATGTAAATAATAGCAGTTGTTTATCACGCTTTTTGTTTGGATAAAGACCGTTACAGGCGACCGTCTTTTTCCAGTTGCTTTGTTTCACTTTTCGTGACTATATCCTGATTTAACAAAAATTAGAGATTTCATTACTACCCACATAAACTAAAACAGAATAGAAATAAAAGCAGATGTGGTGTTATTTAATACAAAATATCGTCCACTAAAAAAATACATATTAAATACACTGCATTGGAACATACAACCACAGAAAATGGGAGTTGTAGTAAAAAATTGAGAAACTGTGGAACGACAAGTCAGAAAACAAATTCACAAAAATTTAACACAGAAAATTTAAACTAATAGAAGTATTTAACAAATTTAAAAAAGTTTATGCCATATAAAAATTTAAATACAAATTTTGACATGATTCGTCAGAAACATAAAAAGTTAGTTACTTTGTACAAAAAAAACTATATTTATTGGACATGCTTATCCAGAAACGAGTAACAGTATAAAAATTTTTTAATACTGGAAAAAAAATCGGAATATTTAGTTAATAATTTAGATTCTTAATAAATGACATTAGTAGAAGTAGTTTTAAAGATGGTATTTTTAGTAATTAGAAATCGCGATTTACGTGTATAATAAAATTTGGTTTAATAACGAACATTTTATGTAAAAAATTAAAATACAAACAAAAAATAATTCGAAAATAATGGAATAATGAAATATTCCACTCTACGACTTGTCTATAAATTTTCATGTTGAAAGACGAACTTATTGAGAATTTTTCAAAGAAAAAAACGCCACTCTCTGAAAAAGCATTTTTTTGTTTTAAAAATAAAAATTCAAAAAAATGAAAGTATATTATTTTTATATTTTTAAAAAACTATATATATCAAAAAAAACAAAAAGAAAAAAGTTTATGATATTTTATTTTTTGCCAAGTTACAGGTATTTGAACATTTTTTACCCAAAATATTCAAATGCTCATATCTTCTTAAGGGGTCAAAATAAAAATTTTAAAAAATTATGAAAGCTTCTCTAAATAATACCAAAAAATTGGGAAAATTAACAATATATTGACGTAATGCACTAAGACCAATAGTTACTTCAAGGAAATTCTTGGAGACCATAAAAAAACAACTTTAATAATAAATTATTGTGTACTTATACAACTTTTTCAAGCTTCACTCTTACATTCCACATTAACAGCACAACTATTTGCCTCAAGAGCTCCCAGAAAATCAACTAAGCGCTTTTACATTCACCGTTCAGCTCTCCGTAGTATCATCCTAACGATCTTCCCCATAAACCGTATAATTGTTTCAGCTGCTGTACACCCGGATAGCTGTCTGTCTCTGGAACAGCTCGGAACAGTTGAAAAAGCAGCTGGACGCCTCTACCCATTCCAACCAGTACCAGGGATTATGCAGGAAGCAGTCCACCAGGCAGAGCAAGAAGGTAAGTCTGGATGGGTTAGGAGATCCGTACACTACAGGTTTATTGCACGAGTTTAACTACAAATAAGTTTACACAACAAAGTTGCAGTTATGAACTTAAAATAGAAATAAAATAGTACTCAGAATGCACAAAGTAAAGGAGGAAAGTTGAAACACTTTATTGGGTGTGCCAATTAAAATAGCAGGAATCAAACAACAATCCAACTTTCTTGGGGATTTTATTTTTTAAATCTTACATTTATTTCTATTGTTAACTGGGATATTATTATGTATAGTTAAATTACAGCACACCAGCTTGTAAAAATTAAAAACTTACCGTAATAGCAATAAAAAAAATTATCTACCTTTCTATTTCTTCTAAAATATATTGTGTAAACCTATTAAATTGGACTCTTACGTAAGCGAATTTGTGTGCGAATGTGCAGGTGTCTCTTTGAATATTAATAACGATAATTTAGCAATTTTAGTTTTTTACAGATCTCCAGATCCTAAACATAGCATAAATGCATTTTTTAATTATTTTGATTCAATTATTTGTAATGTTTTATTTAATCATAAATATCTTATTGTATGCGGTGATCTAAACATTAATCGACTAATCGATTCTCCTTCGAAACGTATACTATTTGACATTATGGACAGTTTTGACTTGGAATGTATGCTTCCTGTTGAACCTACAAGATGCTTCAATAATTCTAATTCTGCGGGAGATTATGTAATTTCAAATTTACCAAATATGACAAGCATAAATTTAGATTTGAACATATCAGATCACAAAGCACAAATGTTTAGTTTTGAACTGCACCAGTCTGCTCAAATAATAAGTGATACATATAAGATACAAACTAAACGCATGTTTTCTGAGTCAAATTTGTTCAATTTAAAGTATCAACTATCAGTAACTGATCTTGGCGATCTCTACCATATAGGCGATATTAACAAAGCATGGCAATATTTTTGGAACAATTTACTATANCTTGTAAAAATTAAAAACTTACCGTAATAGCAATAAAAAAAATTATCTACCTTTCTATCTTTCTTAGTAATTATTATATTCAGATTTATTTACAAAATGCTGCAAATATTTGGATAATAACTCACTTCGAAGTTCAAAATTAATCCACTTTGCAGAATACAATTTTCAATCAATTGGTTAGATAGAGACACATCTGGACATCCGCCTATACGATTATATTATTTAACCAAGTGTATGGCTGGTGGTGTCTCAGGTGTTGGAAATTTCAATTACTTAGCCTCCAACTACAGTTACAAAGGTTTGCTCTATATTGAAATAAAGCACAAAAAGTGGTACTTCTAATAATACACTCTCTTCGTGTTCCCCAGATATTCACAAAAATATTGCATTTTTAGGTCGTATTAAAGGATATAAGGAAAGTACCTTTGCAGACCCAGAAACAGTATTACCTAGACTAGAACTTTATAAACGGCATATGTATCGTCTCGTCAATGTAAATATCGTTTCATTTATAAAACTACTTCGAAGTGGGTATTGCAATCCTGGATTTAGAACTGTGGCTCGTATCCGTGCACTAGATTTGATACCTCGAAAGGAAAATATCAGCGGATAAAGTAAATTATGAAACAGTGTTTGAGAAAGGAATGGCTATAAACTCCTCTGCTAAGGTGAAGTATTAAATTTCGAAAGAGAAATATTTTAAAGTTTCGTTCAATTTATTTAACTAAAGTCTAAACGCATTCGTTCTGAAACCAATTTTTGTAAGTTTACTCATAAATATATTTCTTGCAAAAAAAACGTTACCATATTGCTAATGTAAATGATGATGGCTATTGAAATATGTTTTTCATAAATATTATTTTAATATATCCGCAGTAACTAGCTTGCTTGTTGGACTAAAACGAACATGCAATTCATTTTATGTCATTTAAATGACTATTATAATATCTACTAAAAAAAACTGGTCGTTTTAAATTCATTACTTTGCCGTTAGTTAAAAGCTTTCCCTAGATTGTTCGAAATTTATAGAGAGCTTTAATATTGTTCTCTAAAAGTGAAGTATATACCAGTTCAGTAACGATGAAATATTTTGTGACATACAGTAAATGCTTTTATAGTTTACTTTTATGGCTACGTATATTGGCGACACATAAATGAGGACACTAAAGTAGGCTATGAATCTTTGAAATAAATTGTTTATGGCCACATTTAACCCAATAATCTAAAACCAACATGTAAAACATACGCTACCATATTCCTACAACTATATTTCCAAAAAATTTGCAGTTTTGTTTTTTTTAAGTTGCTTTCTAGGAAACAAACATGTGAATCCGATACTTTATGAAAGAAAATAAGTATATCCGTTACACCAAAAACAATGAGAAAAAGAGAGAAGTAGAGAAAAATAGTTAAGTTAAAATAATAAGTTTTAAGTTTATTTTTTACCTACTACCGTATTCCTCCCCACGGTTTTCTAAAAGATTCTCAAGCAGTGGCGGCTGGTGCGGGAGGGATCAGGAATGCGGTGGTCATGGTTACCGTCGCGCGCAAGTGAAAGACGGAATGGGAGTGGCATATATTTCGCTTGTAACCAAATAATAGCTATTCACTGCTTTCTTTTTTTATTAAATGTAATTTGTTTACGTGTAAAGTTTTGTTACCTACGTATTGCTTCTTGTATATTTGTTGAAAAATCAGTGGTGCGGGAAATACCAAACTTTAAAGAAAAAGTAATTATAGTCTGTTTAGAAATGAAAGAGAGTAATAAAAGCTTATTGTGTATGCAAATCGTAAATAAATGTAGTACTGGTGCTTATATTCAATATTTTTATATTATGTATTATCGGTATAGATGAGGTCTACTTTTAAAAAACTTTGTGCGATCGGACTGTACTAAATTGTAGCAGGTAGCTAAAATTTAATCCCCGACAATCCGTCTTTGTCTATGCCGCTTCAATTTCTCGGTCCATTTCTCTTATAAGTAAACAATATAAAAACAGCATTTCAAAACATGAGGCTACTTTAAGCATCATGACCGGGTTAAGAGGATTTTTAGTAATTCTAATAAAATTATTCAATATTATTATCAAAATATTTTTTTAAATTTAATGAATAGACTTTTATTCCACACAAAAATATATGTATTTTGAAAATTCAAATTATGGTGAGTAAATGTAGTGTTGTATAAATGTACAATAAAGAAAATAAAAAAGTAGGTATATTAAAATTCATCCTCTGAATATTCTGATGAATTATCTTCGTCTCCTAGATTGATAACGATAGGTTCCACAGTAATTTCAATTAAATTATCGAGTTCCCACATTTTCTCCTCTTCTTTTTGTACATGATGTATACATCTTTGCCAGTTATCTGCAGTTACTCGTTCCAAGGAATTTTTTAACAAAATTTTCACGTCACTTAATTTAAACGTCGTATTATTTCGCGCTACATCTCCTTTTACCTGCGCCCAGACTAATTCGATTGGGTTAAGTTAACAGTGATTAGGTGGTAACCGTAGTACCGTTATTTGGCGATTTGTTGCCATTTCATCGATAACATATTTTTTCTGATCTTTATTAAGATTGACAAGTGTCAAAAGTTCCTTTTTCACCATATTTGTTTCAAAAGAAATGTTTTTTCCGGATAACCATTGAATTATATCGGCTTTCCTCCAAGCAGTCGTAGGCGTCCGCTCGGTCTGCCGTGAATGGTAACTGGCATTATCCATGACAATTACAGACCCCGGAGGAATAAGATCCAACATCTGTGTAAAATACTATTCGAAAACATCTGCGTTCATGTCTTCGTGATAGTCACCTGCATTTTTAGATTCAAATAAAAGTAAACCGCCATCTACAAAACCACTGACACTACCTATATGTGTCACTATTAATCTTCGCCCTTTACCTGAAGGTGCCTTGAACCCTGTTGAAAGTCCATCCAAAAATGCTTATCGAAAACTTTTTACATTTTTATCTTGCCGTACTTTTGTTACAGTATATCCCTCGTTGACCCAAGTTTCGTCTAGATAATAAATATTCCTCCCTTCGTCACGGAATTTTCTAATTGATCTTAAGTAGGATCTTCGCCAACAAATAATTTCATCTTTATCGATAAGAACTGACTTCCTGTTCTGCTTTTCCCAGCAAAAATTCAACTCTCGTAAGACGGCCCATAATTTGCTTCTACTGATTTTTGGCAAATCGTTGTCCTCTGAAAGTTCACTTAAAATTTTGTTTAGCGTTGGTATTCCTTTTTTAAAATAAGATGAGTGTACTTTTCTGCGAATGACATTTTTGAAGAAATCATCTATAACGACTTTTGACCTCCCTGTACATGATTTTGGGGGATTTACAGTATCTTGTTCATTTTTTGTTTCCTTTAAAAGTCTGTAGATAGTCGATTTTCCAATCCCTGTCATTTTTGTTATCATTAGTGTTACCCGATAATTGTTACCCTGAAACGAAGTATTACCACGCCCATGGCCGGTTCTTATCTCGGGGTTTTATTACTCTCTTTCATTTCCAAACAGACTATAAAAAGTTTATTTCGGACAAAAGCAGAAGAATGGACTCTCGCTATAAAAAATAATGTTTAGCACATTTTCCCTATATTTTAATAGTACTAAAAATAAAATTGCCCAATTATATTTGATTTCTTTTTCAATACTTTGTACCTAAATATTTCCGCCCTCCCTGGTATAGACATTAAAATTTATAAATTCTATTTGACAACTTCTTTTTTAAAAGTAAAGCCTAAGGCCTAAGAGAATGTCTAAAGGAATAGGAAAGGATAATAAAAGATTTATATTTCTGTGACACGTTCATGTCGAACAAGAAGGTAGAACTTCTAAAGAATTAAAAGTTGTTGACATTGTATAAACTTTTGTTCCACTTTCTTATACATATTGACCTTCTGCCTAACATGGACAAAGTAAGCCTAAGTTTTGAGTAACGCTCAGCACTTTCACAATTACCTAATACTATAGTAACTTTTTATAACAACTTTATTTATAAATACTTGATGATCCATTTGACGAGGATATCTTCAGCTTTATTACCCTATACAGGGTCTCCGGAAACTCTAAATAAAAAATTTTTGACTGTTCAATAACACAAGTTAACTTCAATTTTTTTTTCTGTTAACAGTTTTTTTCCTAAATCGGTACTTTCGTTATATAGTACCAATCTGCAATGCTCATTGGAAAATTTATCACCACTTCTTTGTCTGCGGTTTCTTTTTAAATAAACAAATTAATATTAAAAATCATTAAGAGATCTTACAAAGACAAAGTTGTCCCCTTATTCCAGTCAGACAACATTAACCGTTTTGTTTAATATTTTGCAACTTCATATTCTGTCCTAATACAGTAGGTTATTAATGTTTTAAATTTCATGATTTTTTTAAATTATTTAAAGGCGTTAAAAGTGTAAACAAAGAAATAAATTTTTTAAAGAGTCTCAAGAATTCTGAAGTACCTGAAGATATAACTAAATTAAATTTAATTACTTCAAATTAAGCCCTTATTTATTACTAAAAACGTGACAAGTTTTGGTCGAAATCGACCAAGTAGTTTTTGAGACACTTAAAAAAACGGTGATCAAAAATGAAACCACTTATTCTTTGGTGTATTTTAAGGGCAGATGTATTTTTGTAAACGTTGTCCAAAATCTGAGGCCTTTTCCTAAAATTTAGATGCTCCAGTGACAGGATGTCGGTGGCATATTTTTCTAAATAAAATAGTACGCCACTGCTTTACGATAACATTCATAATATTTTCGGATTCGTCTTTCAATTTCAATTTCTACAAATTATTACTCTCGTATGATTTTCGAAAAAATCCTGATTTTCGAGTAAAACTTAAAAAACGAACTAAAACAGATCAGATTCAAGCAATAAGTTTCGAACAAATTACATTTTTGTTACTAAAAAGATGTCGCGCCTGTTTTCGTGAAAATGGAGGTATTTTTGAGCATTCACGCAAATCAAATCATTAAAATTATGACTAATGTTATTAATTTCGTTATTTGATTAAATAACCGATTAGTGTTTGTCATGTCATGTCATTTAAGTAAAAGTGCTTTCATTTCGTTTTTAAGTTTTACTCGAAAATCAGGCTTTCTTCGAAAAACATAAGAGAATAGTACTCTGTAGAAAACTGAAAGACGAATCCGAAAATATCATGATATGGTAAAGCAGTGGCGTACTATTTTATTTAAAAAAACATGCCACCGATATCTATCTAAATTTTAAAAAAATGAGAATTTGGACAATGTTTACTTAAATACATGTGCCCAATTTCAAATTATTTCACTTACTAGTTATTAAATTATTAGAAAAAATTAAAAATATATTTTGAAGTTTAACAACCTGTATCTTTTAAACGAAGGTTTTAGGTCACCGTTTGTGAATCACCCTGTATATGTAATATCAGTTAACTTCCATTTTTATGAGTCGAATTGATTCTAATTTATATATTAATTATAAAAATGAGTCTTGCTACTGAAAACAATTTAGAAAATTGTTCTGAATACATTTTAAATGCCGTTCGAGAAGCATTTTCGAGCTTACTTCCTTTAAAATACAGGGAAAAATACACCACATACAAAATATTTCATATACTCCCGTATATGAAATATTTTGTATGTGGAGGATGACAAATCGATGAAAGTGTAAAGCTAACGTAATTTTTTGGAGAAAGTAAGCTATTTTTATACATATTTTACTGTTTTTCATAGAATATTTTTCGTTATTGTAGGCAAAATAGGCAATTTAAATCAGGCAAATCTAAAGACTAGTAAATTTTACGAATACTTTACAAGAATAGTTTATTGCCACAAATTGATTGTACATTTTAAAAACATTTAAAATTATTTAAGGAACCAGTGGCGTACGATTTTTTTTCAAAAAGGGTCCCTTACTCCCCCGATAACTACGCCACTGGAGTGTATTTTGGAATAAGTTATCCATGAAAAAACAGTCCTTACTAAAAAAATGTTATGCTCGAAATTTTATCACTAAATATTTTTTGCCAGTGAAGTTACAGGAAAAATCATATAAATATTTGAAACTTATTTTCGTAGGGAAGCGTCCTATCAAAAATTTTTATAGGGCAAAAGTTGTTTATTTTCATCGGTAGAATACGCCATTAAAGTTTGGCAAAACTTATCATTAACACCCTGAATATTTCATGTGGTAAAGTGCCACTTTAGTAAACGATTTTGAATTTAATAAAATAGTACATTATCAAAATGCGAAATAGTATTAAATTGATAAATAACCACAGGAAAAAGAAAAATAATTTACAGCGTTCTCGATTTATTTTCACATTTGCACTTAATACACACTGACAATGAGTGTATCTTTGTTTTTCTATTATAAACTTGAATAATAAAAGATGGAAATAGCCCCAGTGAGCATTGAGAGCAAAAGTGGCAATAAATCGTGAATAAAATTTTTTACCTGCGGGGTTATTTCTTCACTTACCTATCTACCGCTATGACCAGTATCATAACGGTGTTAACTGACAAAAGACTTTACTATTAACTTCTCGAAAGGGAGTTTATAATTATCATTACACTTTAGTTAATACGTGGGAACTTAGAAATGTTGTACGTTCAGAGAATGAATACCAGATACTTACCGTATGTCGCTCATGTACAAGGTAATCCAGTGGTTGGTTGTATAGGGTGACACTTAAGTTGGAAGAACAAGAAAGAAACGCCAAAACTTCCAGGAAGGGTTTTAATAACAATTAAATCAAAACAAACAAACAAAATAACGACACAACGGGCTCGAACAATATTATTAATTAATTTATTGACAGGAGACAGCGTACCGAGATTCAGGGAATGTGCGATCCATAGCAAAATTTGGAATGACTTTATCCATTATTAACCCGAGATTCTAAAACTAAGTAGACTGCTCAATGTGGAACCCAAGGAAAAATTGCCTTTTCTTTCGAGATCTCTACTGAATTCGACACCTCGCTTCGACAGGCCCATTTCTTGGATCCAGACGTTTCTGTTCTTATCTTACTGGCGGGAACCCTGAATATCGGGACGTTTTGGCATAACTATGCCATGTTAATAGTTATCTAATGGACTGAATTTACATTTATATAAATAATTATGTGACTAATTGGACTTACAAGTATCCCTAGCCCTCCTCTAGTGACTCCGTGTAGCAATACGGGACGGATTAGTCAATCTCATTTAATCTGTTCTTATAGCTTGGAAAATCCGCCTAAAAACCAGCTATTTGATCTATTATTATTTTTCTAACAACTTCTAACAATTTATTCTTGGAATTCCTACGTTCTTCGGAATGCATTTCGCGCGTTATTTGAAATATCGATTTTTCTCTTTATCGCAGATGGTCAACATAATATGTTGAATATGGCCCCGACAGTCTAAGTGAACTTGTTCAAAAATACTGTTAAATTTCATGAAGCCTTCTCCGAATAACAGCCTTATGGCGACGCTAATCCTACTTGAAAACCCTTAACTCTTCGATAAATTAGTGTTGACTGAAATATTTTACTTTTTGGCCCATCCGTTCCGAGAACTAATGAATAAATTACCACGCATCCCGGCTTTTGTTACAATATCAAGACACTTTATGTTTCAAATTTCCAGCATTTAAGAAATAGTTCTGGAGCACTTGGAGCCCTGCTTATGTTCAGTTCTTAGCACTGAGATACCAATCACCAACCTATGGTATTCTGTTATCTGTGGGCACCACTTTTCTAGGAAACCAAAAAAAACAAAGCCTTACTGCCTCGACACTGCTTTAAGTGTCTAATACTTTCTTAAAATCTTATTCATGTTACAGTCACACCTTAACGGAGACGCTACCCTCCTGCAGAACACCTCGAACAGCATGCCCAACCCGAATTCTAGCCAGAACGTGTTAAGAGCCCGACGTGGAGTCATCAAGATGCTGATCATCGTAGTCTGCGCCTTTGCCATTTGCAACCTGCCTTTCCACGCGAGGAAGATGTGGCAGTACTGGTCGTCCAATTATCACGGCGATACGAACTTCAGCGCCCTCTTCACGCCGCTGACGTTCCTCTCGACGTACTTCAACTCGGGAGTGAACCCCCTGCTGTACGCCTTCCTTTCGAAAAATTTCAGAAGGTGGGTAAAATTTTACTGGTAAAGTGGAGGCCATCATGTATGTAAATACTTAAATTAGTCACCAGTTTTATCATGAAAGGTGTAAGTACCTAACTTAATGGAATGGTATTAAATGCAAGGGTTGTCAGATTGAGCAGATTTTCGCCATTTGAACTACAGTTATCTTAATAGTTATCATAAGCACAATCGCAACTCCTTGAATTATTTTGAGTGTGCGCTGAAAACTGTCTACAGGGTCAAACGAGACACTTATTTGTCACAAAAATGAAAAATTTTATTCACAGAAGTACTAACGCTGCCAATTATGTTATTGGAATATGTAAATAATTGTGTGGCGTCGTACTACTTTTGTATTGTTTTTATTGATCAGTTGCTTACAAAAGCTAATATTTATAAACAGTGTCGTAACTGTTCCGCTGTCGTACCATTATATGTATGCATATGAAGAAAGGTAAGACATTTTTTTTTATGAAATTTGAAATTTATTTGCTACTTTGATTTGATAGTAGAACTGATTTATGTGTCAAAGAAATTCACGAAGTTTGTAGCAGTGTAAATCCAAACCCTTTATGAATAAATTTGTGAATTTATTCGTGACTAAAATGTCATTCTAAAACAGCTATTACAATTTATTGACATTTACGTTGAAAAGGGTTTTGTAAAACATTCGTTGTAATAATGAATGCGATCTGAAATATATTTCTGAACAATCAGAAACTGAAATCGTAATCGCTTCAATTTATTTTTTTAATTTAAAAAATATACAAACCTTTTTTTTGTTCTAACATATATCTCAAAAACAAAGCAAATTATAACACATATTTACAGGAAATCATTAATTTGTAGTGACATTAGTTTCAATATAGAATCCTTTTTCAATTAAAAATAGTAGATACTAAGATATCACGAACATATTACACATTGATGCTATTGTAGATATGGCCCATGATATTATTCTTACTGAGGACCCCTACCATCCAGCTATTTTTATCAATATTAATACATATTCAAAAAAATGAAGTTTTCCTTTAAAGCAACAAAATGACTTTAATTTCAAAAAAGCAAATTTTCTTGTTTCGTATGATGTTATTTTGATTACTAACTGGTCTTTCCTTAATGAATACATCAATCCAAATTAAGCATTAGACGCTTTTTATGACAAACTGAATAACATTTTTGAGGACTGGATTTTTTTACCGTACGTAATAGGAATCTTACATTGATCGCAGACGGGGTGTTTTTAAGTATTTACAGTAGTGGTCGTATTTACAGTAGAATGCTTTACTTATGTAGTCATATCTGTCTTTTATACTTTGTTGCCTTTTTATTTTGTTCTTTATATTTGTGTTATTTGTAAGTTTGTACTATTTTTATTTTTTTTTTCTCTATTTTTTCATAGTTAATTTTTTTCTCTTTTAATTTTTTTTTATATTTTATTACTAGACTTAACATATCCTATTATTGCGCACCGCTTGTTGGATGTGTATTTAAAAAAATAAATAAATAAATAAATAAATAAATAAATAAAATACATTGTAAAATATATTATAATATGTTTTCTGTTCACGTTTAGCCAATATTTTCTAGCTATACAAAATTAGTTTCATTATTATAAATTATTATTTTCAACTGGAAAAATGATGTCTCTCATGAAGCAACATTTCAATCATAAATATCAGGTCAGAATTAAGTAAGTAACTTGTGTAGCAGAAGAGATAGAATATTATAATCAACTTGTACAGTATGTAATAAACTTTCAAAATTCAAGATGGCGGATCCAATATGGCGGACGAATTTTTCGAAAATCAACCGATTTGCACCAAACGTTGTATCCGAGGGTTTTTGGGGTCGCTGATCACGAATCCGTGGTCAAATTTGCAAAATTCAGAAATGGCGGATTCAAGATGGCGGACGAATTTTTTGAAAATCAGTCGATTTGCAACAAATATGTTATACGGCCGTTTTTGGGGTTTCTGATCACGAAAAAACCCGTATATCAAATTTGGTCCCCATTGATTGGCCACCATCTTGGATCCGCCATCTTGAATTTTTAATATCTGACCTCGGATTCGTGATCAGCGTCCTCGAAAACCTCCGTATACAAAATTTTGTGACAATCGGTTAACTTTCAAAATTTTCATCCGCCATCTTGATTTCGCCGCCATTTTGAAATTTTTGAAATGGTCAAGGTCATATCTGAACGTAAAATTTTCCGCTCTTTCCATTTCCGGGGTCAAAATGGGGGGTTCCCATTTAAAAAACCGTCTTGACCCCATAATGACCACGTGGTTAGTGGTCAGTGGTCATGGCATGGTCACCATTGAATAGCCAGGGAAAAATCCTAACTTTCCCTGTATTTGGTTTTTCCGGAAAATGCATATCTCGCGAGATTTTTTGGGGTTCCCATACTTTTATGCCACCCTGCATATTAGTGGAAACGTGTTGTCCTATAACTAACTTATAGATAGTTTCAGTACCACTTTAATTTACTGATGTTATTGTTACATTAACGAGATTCTCAAATAACGAGTTCTAAATCTCTCTAATAATTGGAATAATTATATTTTACAAAATTCAATAAAAATTATTGTTATTAAATATGAATATACAGGGTGTAACTAAATAAGTGTAAAACATTTAAGGGGGTGATTCCTCATCGAAAAAAAGATAGGATCTTTCATATAAAGAAACTTCATTGGAGCATCCCTTGTTAAGATACAGCCCCTTAAAGGGGGTACATAAAATTTGTTTAACAATTTTTTTCACAAGCACTAAACAAGTTACAATATTGAAATTAACCTGACATTTTCTACTACCAAAAAGACACTTAGCCAGTAATTTATTTGGTTTACCCCATGGTTGTAAGGGGTGGAAAACGCAACCCCTAAAATTTATTTCCAACGTAATTTTTTGTCTTATTATTTTTTTACCATTTAAAAATTTATTTCCGATAGCCTGTTTCATTCTAAAAAAAAATGTCTCTTGAATTTTTTGCCCAAATTAAACCAGTTCGCAGCAAAAAATTATTTTACGAACAAGATACATATCGCCATAAAACGAAAATACGAAACTAATTTATCTAGTAGGCCGCCATTAGCGATACTGACAATTAAATTGGAATCAAGCTGTCAGTTTGTAAATTTTTGAAATTGAAGTAATACTAATTGTGTATTGTTCTGTTCTTAATTTGTTACTTTAATAATTCACTTGTTATTAAAATGGCATACACAAATGAGGAAATGGCTGATATGCATTACGTTTACGGTCTGTCGCAGGGGAATGGGTTAGAAGCTTCTACAAGATATGCTGAAATGTATCCTCAACGGCAGCATCCTTCACATAGAATATTTGTCTGACTTCATCAACGATTACGTGAATATGGTTCATTCAACAAAAGAACGCAGGATTGTGGTCGCCATCGAGAAGTAAGAACACCACAGCTTGAGGCAGCAGTACTTAATTTGATAGAAGAACAACCTACTACCAGTACTAGAAAGATTGCTTTCCAGCTAAATGTTGATCATATGACGGTATTTCGAATTTTAAAGGAACATCTCTTATACCCTTACCATCTGCAACGAGTACAGGCACTGTTACCGCGAGACTTTCCGAACCGTCTTGAATTTTGCAATTGGATGCTGGAAATGATTAGAAGAAATCGTGACTTTCTGAAGACGATCGAATTCACAGACGAATGTAGTTTTTCTCGGGACAAGATTATTAATTTTCATAATTACCACATATGGGCTGATGAAAACCATCACGCTATTGTCGAAACTAACCATCAAGAACAGTTTTCTCTTAAGGTGTGGGTCGGAGTTATTGGGGATTATTTAATTGGGCCTCATTTTCTACCTCCTCGATTAAATGGTGAGGCATACGTTCAATTTTTAAGAAAAGTGCATCCCCCCGTACTGCTGGAGGAAGTTCCTTTGGGCGTCAGAAGGGATATGGTTTTTATGCATGATGGGGCTCCCGCCCATTTTAGTCAAGTAGCACGTCAGCATTTAACTGAAACATATGCAAATCAGTGGATAGGTCGAGGAGGACCACAGAATTGGCCCGCTCGATCCCCGGATCTCAATCCTCTGGATTTGTCTACTTGGGGCCATTTGCAGCATTTGGTTTATCGTACTCCTGTTCGCGATGTAGAGGACTTAAGAAACCGCATTATCGATGCGTGCAGGGTAATTAGAGAGACTCCAGGAATATTTGAGCGAATACGTGGCTCAATGCGCCGACGTCTAGACGCATGCGTAATGTCTGAAGGTAGACATATTGAACATTTACTATGATTTCTACATGTTGTATGTTTTGTTATTATTAAATTAGTTTTGATTATTCCCCTTTAATCATTTAATGCAGGTAGTAACTACAAAATAACAGTAAATCCAGTCCGCATTTATGACGATGTATCTCTGTAGTTGTTCGTAAAATAATTTTTTACTGCGAACTGGTTTAATTTGGGCAAAAAATTCAAGAGACATTTTTTTTTAGAATGAAACAGGCTATCGGAAATAATTTTTTAAATGGTAAAAAAATAATAAGACAAAAAATTACGTTGGAAATAAATTTTAGGGGTTGCGTTTTCCACCCCTTACTACCATGGGGTAAACCAAATAAATTACTGGCTAAGTGTCTTTTTGGTAGTAGAAAATGTCAGGTTAATTTCAATATTGTAACTTGTTTAGTGCTTGTGAAAAAAATTGTTAAACAAATTTTATGTACCCCCTTTAAGGGGCTGTATCTTAACAAGGGATGCTCCAATGAAGTTTCTTTATATCAAAGATCATATCTTTTTTTCGATGAGGAATCACCCCCTTAAATGTTTTACACTTATTTAGTTACACCCTGTATAGATATTTATTTGTTTTTGGAAAATCCATAGAAATTTAAATTACTACTGTAAGTAATAATTGTCCGTATAACAGTTATAGGTACATCGTCTCATTTAATAGTTTTTACTCATTTTGAATTTTATCGAACACGAGTTTCAAACT